GCTTAGCTCCATCCCCATATAAATGTGACTAAACTCGGATCACAACCGGTATGAGGCGAACTACCACCAATGGTCGTATCATCTAGCCCATCTCCCCCCTCCCCCGTTTACGGGACAAGCTATCATAACATGTCACGAGAAATGTGAAATTTATTTGGGAATGTGTAACTGCACCACCCCCCGGTAAAGCACTCAACTGCAACAACACGGTGTGTTTCGCTACTGCCAAGCCTAGTCGCCGAGTTGCATGAGAAGACGCGACCAGCCGAACTACTCGGGTAGGGGCGCCGAGCCGTGCCGCCAAGGCCAAGCTGCCCACCAGCCAATGTCGAGCACTAGCTGACCTACCCGAGCTGGGGCGCCGAGATGTGAACTGCCGAGCCACGAACGTTGAGCTGGGGGCACCGATGTCGAGCTGTCTCGAGGACGCAGATGCCGAGCTGAGTTGTGCCGCGAGACGCTGATGCTGCGGACGTTGTGCCGAGTTCCAAGGCCGAGCCGACCCCTAATATTGAGCCGCCCATCAGGCCGAGCTCACCCCCGATGCCGAGCCGCCCATCAGGCCGAGCCGACCCGCGAGCCACCAATACCGACACCGAGCTGCCACCGTGCTGAACCGACCACCATGACGAGCCGACCCGCGAGCCACTAAGCCATCCACGTGGTTACCAATCACAAGATGTTCGTTTTTTTCTCCACCTAAATACATATGCCTACCCACTCAAGCCTCATGTGGTCTCTTTCATCTCCACCTAGGCACATGTGCTTACCCACCAAACACATGTTCACTTTTATCACCTACCCACCAACTTGCTCCCCAAGTCTCCATCTTCTCCTTTGATTTAATTTCAAATGAATGGTCAAGATTGACCTAGACTCACCAACCAAGATTGACCTTCTTCTATAAATACCTATCTCATTCATTCATCATTTACCACTTCAACTCTTTTTTTCTTTTCTTCACTCTCTCCCTACCACATAATTTCTCTCTATATCAAGAAACTCCCCATATCTTCTTAGAGTCTGACGATTCTTCCCATTGTCGAGCTTGCATCACACCGTCGACCACGTTTTCCCACCGACGAGCTCACACCTAACCGCCGACCACACGTCATCTACCAATCGGGCACGCCGACCTTGTTCCTGTCCAATGAGCTCGCACTCCTCTTCAACCAGAAGTCACACGCACGCCGACCTCATCTCCTTCCTTGCATCATGTCGGAAAGCTTATCGCCGAACTCATCTCATTACTTTTGCCTTTATTGTTGTTGTGTAAAATTTTATTTATTTATTTATATTTATTATTATTATTATTATTTTTACATGTGCTCGTTGTTTATTGTCCGATTACTTGTACTCATTAGAGCCCCACACTACTACCACGAACACTAGTACCTCCCCTCATACTTCACATTCCACACCCATAGGAGATCCTTTCGTTACCTTAGCCCTCTCGGCCTCGACGTCTGCAACTTTCGACATGCCGACCTCCTCTGATAACAAAGAACAAGAGGATGCTGCCCGCTCTCAGGCAATGCCTTCCAACCGGATCTCCTCATATTCGGATAGCCAAATAACCGCACTTGTCAAAAAAATTGAATTGCCCCGAGAATGGGAACTCAAACTCCCATGACCCGGAGATTCGTACGAGGAACCCCTACCCGACTTTCATAGCTTTTTCCTAGAACAAGCCGATGTCGGGCTAAGATTTCATTTACACTTGAACTTACTCAAGTTGAGCCGGTTGTATTGCTTACCCTTGAACCAATTTCCTTCCAACGTGATCCGCCTCCTCGTTGGTTTCATCATGGTATGTTGAGTCCACCTCGGCAAACTTGACCCCGAGCTATGTTTCTGTTGCCTCTGTCTCAGGCCCTTGAACAACTCACCCCACCTTATGCGCCGCAACAATACCCGTTTCTTAGACCAACCAAAGTCGAAGGTCTATAATTGGAAAAGCAAATTTTACATTGTCCGTCCTCCTCCTGATACCTTAGACTTCCCATCAGACCGCCTAGACGAGCTGCCAGGTCAACGCAATAACCCGAAGCGGAACGCCAAATACGACACCCTCATCAGCCAATGGAATGATCGCTTACTCCATATGGTGAAGCTGACCACTAAAGACCAGCTCCTTCGGCACTTTCAACTGTCAAGTTGTGCTGCTGACACCGTGGGTGACATAGGTAGGCCTCGGCGCCGCGAGTTGCAGTCATATCGCCCACCCTTTCATTTAGATAGTTTTTACATATGTGATATAAGATTTATAAAGAATTTTCTGACAATATACTAAATTTTAGATGAAACAATATCATTTTATTTGTTATATAATATTTCGGTTTGCATTAATTTTTATTTGTATATGTAAAATTGATAAATCAATCACAAAAAGGGTAGATTTTTTTTTTTTTTTTTTTTTTTTTTTTTTTTTTTTTTACAATAAAGATTTAAAAAAAGAATATAATTTTTGAAATCTTTTGTACTAAATTTTTGAACTCATACTTCGTCAAAAAAATTTAATTTTTGAAATCTTTTGTACTCAACTTTTAAACGAATTTATGTCATAATTCGTCATAATTCTCTCACATCATATCAATATTTATTTTATATATACTACGTTAATCTTCATCTCAATATTTATTTTACTTCACAAAGAAAGTGTTCAATAATTTATATTTTTTTACCTTCTTTGCAATCCATTTATTTTTGTTACATATATAAAAATTATATTAATTTTAGTATTTCACACGCTAAACATTTCAGGAAAATATATCATCACGTGTGGCTACGCTCTAGTAACCATAAAAATGTTACCATATTGATAAAGTAATAAAAGCTTACCATATTGAGCTGAAAAATACATTTGGGCGGAAAAATGTTGGTAACGCCAAACACTCTGACCGGCTGGAAATCGATTCGCCTCCTTCCTCCTCGCCGGTAGAACGTTGCGTACCTGCAAAGAATTCTCACACCGGAGGGGTTTTCCGGTTAAGAGCCTCCTATGCTTAAGTCAACCTTGAGAAGAGTATATGTGTGATAGTAAAAATATGAGAGATTGTGAGATTGTCCCTGAAATGAAAAACTTCACCCCTATATATAGGGGTGAAATACCTGCTCTAGAAGTTGCTCGGGTTGGCTGAGTTGTCTGCCCAACCTGCCCGATCATACACTCCACTACCTCAACGTCAGGAATGTGTCAGAAACCATTATTGATACATGCCAATTAACTCACGCCACGTGTCCCGCGCACGTGTCTTAAAGATTCCCTTGGAGGCTCATGCGTTCGACCATTTATGGGTAAGTTATTAAGCCGCCTCTGGTGTTGGGGATGGTCGATCTTACGACCATTCATATTCAACCGCCTAGTATTTCGACCAGGTCTTCTGTGAAACTAGAATCTGTCGGGTGTCCTAAACTCGCATAGCCTTGATCTTTGACCTCTATCAATCAATATATACTCTGTTCGACCAGACCAGTTTATTCAATTTATTCCTCTCTAATCAACCAGACCGGTCTAAGGTATAATACCCACATCATATATATATATTATTATTTATTACAATTTATGTCATAAATATTAGTTCATTTGTCAATTATGAAACTTATATTTATAACATTTTATTTTTAGTTATTGTTAAAGTTTTATAATATGATATCTAATCTATAACTTTAAATATTATATACATATGTATACCACATAATATTTTTTTTGTATTTATGTATATGTACAAGATCGACTATTAGTAAACTAACTAAATATGCTATTACTAATTTATGATACTTTACCAAAATCATAAATTTATGGGGGTGTATTTAATTAGTATTTTTAAGGACTTTTTAAGACTTTAGAAATGCTGGTGTATTCAATTTAGATTTGTTAAGACTTTTAAAAATCCTGCGGTATTCAATTGGGATTTTCAAAAGTCTTACAAGATCCTGAGATATTTAGTTTTTTTACATTAGGATTTATTAAGACTTTTTAAGATTTGGTGGGATTTATAAACAAAAAACCTTATATGAAATCCCACTTCAAATGATATCTCCAGACTTAAGGGGGGTATATTCGTTTCGGAATTTGAGTGACATTTAAAGACTTTTTAAGATTTAAGATTTTTTAGGATTTTCAGATTTTGGTGGAATCCAATCATGTGAAATACCAAGTCTAGAGGTGAGATTTTTGGTGAGATTTCGTACATGTATTTTTCTTTAAAAATCTCAACAAATTTAAAAGGTCCTTACAAATCATGATCTCAAATAATTTAAATACCACAGGATTTCCTAAGACTTTTTAAAATCCAAATTGAATACCTCAAAACTTTTAAAAGTCTTGAGAAGTCTAAATTAAATACAGTAGGATTCTTAAAGTCCAAAAAAAATTTTAAAAGTCTTTATAAATCTCAATTAAATACACCCCCAAGATTTCATAGAATTCTTCCTAGATCTAAAATCCTTGAAAATTTCAAATCTTAAAAAGTTTTAAAATGTCACTTAAATTTCCAATTGAATACATCCCCTTTGGTGTGGGTGTGGGTGTGGAGGGAGGATTTGAAGTGAGATTTCGTTTAAGTTTTTTTTTTAGAAATCCCACCAAATTTTTAAAAGTTTTTAAAAATCTCAGTGTCAAATAAATTAAATACCTCTGGATTTTGTAAGACTTTTTAAAATCCATACTCCACCACGATTTTTAAAAGTCTTAACAAATAAATTGAATATATCATGATTTTTAAAATCTTAAAAAAATCTTTAGAAATCTCAATTAAATACACCTCCTATTTTTTTTTTTTAAAAAAATCGTTTTAAATATATTTACATTTTTTTAAGCTGAACAGATGTCAAGGTACTATTGGCTGGGCGTCAACACTTTTCTACGTGAGCGTGGCTACATACATACCTCCCCCAATGTACTGCGCAAAATCTGCTCTGTAAAAAATTCACTACGTTATTATTATTATTCTCTCTCTCTCTCTCTCTCTCTCTCTCTCTCTCTAGCGCGTTTATGTATGAAAGCTGACCACAAGCTTTTGACTTCAAGCATTCAGTCATCATCCATGGCTGAAAGCGGATCGCCGTGCAATCTAGGGTTCCGATTGGGTAAATATTTCAGCTCAAACCTTATGTACTAAATCACTCTTTAGATTCGTGAATTTTCATGATTTCAGTTTCTTTCAGCTGTGGAGTATTGTTTGATTTTCGCCTAATTCGTGTACTGAATTTGGTGTACTGGGAACATTTGCGGTAATCAATAATCGAAAGACAACATGGCTTTGACGGTTTAATGTTTGATGAAGATCTTGTGTCGGATTATTGTTTTTATTGGTTAATTATCAGTACAGTCAATAATTATTCCTGCAGCTTATCTGTGCTATTTCTTGGTCAAGAGTTTGTACTTGTTATTCTTCAGTTTATAAGGGGGGGAATCATTGAAATGTGGTTGCATTATGTTTGTTGCAACTTAAATGAAGTGTTTGAACAATTTGAGATCTATTTTCGTGAGGTCTCTTAGCATACAACTGTCTGGGATTATAAATCATCAACATCAGTGTTAGGTGTATTGGTTTATTTGAAGTAGAGAACAATGCTAACAGCTCTAGGCAGGTCGGCAGGAGCACTGCCTAAGAAGCACAAACACTTTTGTGAGGGTGATGGTTCCGTCCCGGACGTGTATCACATCCGAGACTTCATTTAGTTCTCTATATATAAATTTATAAACCACAAGCTATTAATTTAAAAAAGAAATACTTCTGATTGTTGTGTTTTTCACGTTTTCTCTATTATTGTGGGTTTTACAACATTTTCTATGCCTTCATTTTCATGTTTAATATGTCGAAACTGAATAATTACCTTTTCATTGTAGTTTATCATTAATTTGGATTTTTTAATGATATAAACATATATATTCTTATGTAAAATGTAAATATATGGTCGTATTCGTATCATAGAATTTTAAATATGCCATGTCCTGATTACCCATTGTGTATCATATACTCGTATTTGTGCTTCATAGCTTATTGATCCCTCCCTCCCAAAGAGATTGGCCTTGCTTAGTGATTAGCGGTTTATCGGATACATGATTATATTAGCGGATGGCTTGTTATATTTAGTGGCTTTGACTAGCGGATTCCATGAACTAATGTTTGGTAAATAATGAATAGTGGATTTACAGTACAAAATGAAAATAACAACTTCAAATAATATTTGTATTAGGTTCTACTACTTGTAAGATAGGTCTTGACGATGAATTTATTATAAATAGTTAAATATTATTAAGTTAGCAACAATGCGTAGTATTTTTGAGTCGTTACTCTCTAAATATATTATGTTTAATATACAATAAAATTGTCAGAAATTGTTAATTAACTGAATAAATTCTCTTATTAATGCTAAATATAATTAATTGTAACTATATACAAAATTATATTTTATAAATATTTTTCAATCCCCTCTTCACACAATCTCATATTTGGAGCTTTTTCAAAATCAACTTCGTGGACTTAAAAAGCTAATTAAAACTCTATTTACTAAACACGTCGAAGAGAGTATCTATTTTTGTTTAAATAGAGAATTTAAAAATCAACTTCTATATATATTTTTCGTTATCCCACAAAGTTATGCTTGTTTGTTTAAATAGAGAATTTAAATAATAAAATTCTCTTCGTTCCTTGCTTAATCTAAATGAATAACAAATTATGAAACGTTATCCATATCAACATAAAAGGTATATTAGGGAATAGTTTGAAAGTTTACCTTTCCAACAACATGTATTGATAGTTTCTTAAAATGTATGGAAAGTTGAACTAGCCTATTCATTTTGGGGTGGAGGAGGTGTATTCCTGAATATAAAGATGATTTTGGTTAAATTATATTCTGTAGCGTAGTATTTTCAAGATTATGTCTATTTTTAGTTATCCATTGTGTTTCCTTGTTTTTCATATAAAATGTGTGTATGCGTTCAACTAGAATTATTACTTGTGCTTTTCAGTAATTCATGTTACATAATCATTTTTTATGTCATGAGCAACTTTACTCAGTCCATTATAAAGTTATATATGGTATTTCAGCTGTTTGTCATGGGAAGTTTGAGAACAAGTAGTTGATATTAATGAAGCTCAATTAATATCTTCTTATTTGTTTTTCTGAACTGTATTTTCTTCTATAAATTGTGCAGATATAAATCAGATCTTGTCAGAAGCCCAACATCGCTGGTTAAGGCCTGCTGAAATAGCTGAAATACTAAGAAACTATCAAAAGTTTCATATTTCTCCTGAGGCTCCAAATAAGCCAGTCAGTACGTCCTTTGACTAGTCAGTACTCCTGTTCATTAACTATTTATAATTAGGTTGCGTAAAAATTCAGTATATTTAATATATCTGGGTAATCTTATAAGTGTTACATAACTAAGAAAGACCATTGATCATCCTAGATGGCTGAGAAAACTACCTCTGGTAGATCATAATTCCTCTGTGTGATTGTGGATAATAGGATCTGACTCTGCTCAAAAGAATAGCCCAATGCAGAAGTTTTTTATACCTGACAATCTAATGTTTAGTTGCTGTGTTCTCAGTTTATCTTATGTTTTCATATGCGATTGATGTTAAATTCTTGAAATGTGGTTGATAATGATGTACATATTTTATTGACTTATTTCTAATTTTTTTCCCCAAAATTCTTCAAGAGATCCATGCCACACAATACTGAATATTCCGGTCTGCTATATTTGCATCAAATTTGCTCTGGAACTTTTATGATCATCCTAACTTTACATGACGTTTAGTTTTCTGCTGCCTTACAATTTACCATTGTCCTGCCAATGTTAACTTCTCGGCGTTTTTTCTCCCCAAAAAAATTGTTCCTTACTGTTAGAGTTTGTGGGTAAAAGTAAATTTTCAAAGGTATTTGTTCGATATTGGTTAAATTGATGTTAGAATATTACTTACTACCTCTATGTTGGCATAATTTTTTTATGGGTGCTCATGTTTAGGGGCCTTATTCTAAAAGGGTAGGTAAATAACTTCTATGTTTGGCCTTTCAGATGAATTGGAGATGAAGTGCCTGGTTGTTGTTGTTGGGGTGGGGTGGATGTGTATAGTGTTGTACCGAAAGATTGCATCTCTTTTTTATTTTCCCTTGAGAATTTCGTGCCAGTTGTCTGGATAGAACTCGTAGTTCTATCTGATAGGTGAAAAGCTAGAACGGTTTTATCTTATTAAAATGCATATTTGGAGCAAGCTCGAGATGCCATTATCTTATACTTGATAGTATTAGACTAATGATATAAAGTAGTTCGTGCATAATGTGTGAATTACCACTTCTTTGCCTTATCAGCTGTTCGTGGTCTTGTACTATATTATAGTTTCACTTTGATTGTTCTTCAAACATCAATCTGTGAAAATAGTGTTAATTTGTATGGGGCTCTGAGACTTTTTCATTCCTTTTGTGCCTCATTAGTTAATTCAGGAATCAGGATAGTGAACATAGGTTTCAAATGCATGTATGAACTTGTGAAACGAGCGTGTACACCAAGTGGACCGATTATGATATTACCGAGTGTTGAAGATGGCATTTGTTTTCCGGTTCTGCCTTCTCTGTAGAGCTTATATTTCATTCATTATATTTGCTTCACGAAAGGATTGAACTAAACGAATTACTGGAGGGAAGATGCCAATTCCGTGTTTTCAATGGCTTACTTCTGTTTGAGTTTGTAATGGGCAGATGGACAGTGTTCTATAATAATTATGTCCACTGTTGATAAATGCTTGTCAGGTGGTTCTGTTTTTCTCTTCGATCGAAAGGTATTGCGATACTTCCGGAAGGATGGACATAATTGGAGAAAGAAAAAGGATGGGAAAACTGTAAAAGAAGCCCATGAGAAACTGAAGGTAAATTAGGAGTGCATATGACGAATGAGGTTCTTCTGTTCAATTCTCCACAGTCGTTCAATTGTTTGGCTAGTAGTATGATATCTCATTTTTTCCTTTTTCCCTGGAGGATTTCATTTTTAAAGCTGATGTAGTCTCCTGAAATATAATTTTTCTGCCCCTGAAACAAGTAATCTTGACCTGAATTGTGTTGCATTATTCTGTGTGATGATTGAACCAGTTGATCCTGTATTTTCCTTTCATCATGAAATTGAGTTTTGAGTCTGCGGCCTTGTCATTCTGAAATTGACCCATTGCCAACTTGGTCAAGGAATCTGTTTGTTTTGCAGAACATAGCTTGCTAACCTGTTTGTAAAACTGGCCGAAGGGAAAATAGAAGACTTTTTTATTGCTTTGCTAGACATCAACTCATCGATGAAGCAGTTGATGAAAACATTCACACGATAGTCTCATCATTAATTGATTAGAGCGAATTATTGCTTGCATAAAAATAGCCTTATTTGGTTGATCTAAGTTCATGCAATTTCTTATTTATTATTATTTTTGGGGGGCAATTGTTGAAAAAAATCAAGCATAAAGTAAAGTTGCATCCCTTTCACTGCCTTGCTTAACCAACTGGGGGGTAGTAGCATTTTTTAGGCTTAATTCGGTGAGCTAACTCCCAAAATTTTCTTGAAGTATTTTTCACCCTGTATTGAGCTGCAATGCTGTCTTCTGTTGCTTACATGATAGGTTTCCTATCATCTTCACTCAGTTATATAATTTGTATAGTTCCCAATACTTTTTTGTCCCATACCTGGGAGCCAGTGGCTTAGTGTGTGGGCATATCCTTGTTAAGAATGCTGTGGCCCACAACTCCTTTTGCATGTACATAATTAAATTTAAGAATGTTTTTTGCACCGTCACTATGTTTTGTTCACATAGTAAGGAACATCTAATATATCCTAGTATGGGGGTTCATGCTACATTTGACTTGTTCAGGTCGGAAGTGTTGATATGTTGCACTGTTACTATGCTCATGGCGAGGATAATGAATACTTCCAAAGACGCAGCTACTGGTTGCTTGAAGAGTAAGTACTGCTTCTTAACATGAGATATATTAACAATATTATGTTCAGCTTAATGTCAGGAATCTGTATCAGGACTAAGCTTATGTCACTATTGTAATATTTCTTCTGTATCTGAAGTTAAATTGTGCATCTGAACAAATCATAGCGTGTATCTTTTCAAGTTTTAGCTGTGGCTCATGTACCCATCTCTAGGTTAATTCTATCAGTAAAAGCAAACAATACTAACTTAAAACCCATGGAAAGCTAATAATACTAACTTAAAATCCATGGAAACCAATGATAGTCTTGTTTTTGACAATATAAACGTGGAGTCGACCTTTGGAAGATCGCAACTTCCAATTTCAGAAGAGTGAGTGATAGTTTATTGACATATTTGAAGACAATTAAAATTACTAATCTTGGAACCGAATTTGGTTATGCACTTATAACCTTTATTATCTATCATTTTCCCATTACATTGTTTTGCCAGCTGGTGAAAGGTAGTTTTTCATGATTTGTCGCCTGGACTTACTGATTTGTGTATCCGTTGATTTCCCTTTGCTTTATTCTATATGTTTATCCATGCTAGTCCATATTTTAGTAACTAAAATCATTTTGCGTGTCATGGGATAGTTGTTTAATATTCATCCTACCATGTTTTGAATAACTGATATGGCAACTGCTTAACATGCTGACTATCAATTAATCTTTGTTTCTAATCTTGCAGGGATCTCATGCACATAGTTTTTGTACACTATCTGGAAGTCAAGGTAAGAGATACTAAGGTTCCACCAACATCATATTAGTTCTTTTTGATGGTGGTGGTTGTTTAGTTTTTTAATCTTGAGATTTTCAAATAATGTCCCACTGTTTGAAATTTTTGTAAGGGGAACAATGCATTAGTTTTGCCTCGGACATGGAAATAGATTTTCATTGCTAAAAATTCAAATAAACTATGAACTGCTCATGAAGCCTTTCATTTGAAAAGTTAGTGGATGAAATATGGATGGTATCATGCTCAACTTCTTTACTTTGCTCCTTGTTTTTGTATGCGCTTAGCTTAAAACTATTTACTGTTAATTCCTGTAACCACGTTATGTGTGTGTATGTGCTTGCAGGAGAAACTCAGGTTCTTCCATTTGTTATAGATATTAGGTTCGAGGAAGCAAAATTATGTTAATGTGGGGACTGTATTTGTCGTTTATTTTCCTTCTGCAGGGTAATAAGATGAACATCAGCTCTCTTAGAAGCAGTGATACAGTTGCATCAAATTCCGAAAATAATAGCTTATTATCTTCCAGTTTCCGTGGAACTAGCCCCAGCAGTACCATGTCATCAGCATATGAAGATGCTGAATCAGGTAAAGTTTGTGCATGTATCTGTGTGCCTGTCTGCATATCTCTTTATGGATTTTGAACGAAGTAGAATTTGGCACTAAACTTACTTTTCCTCTTGTTATTTCTATGGAACCAAAAACGTTGACAGAATTCCCTGTGGAGGATAATCACCAAGCTAGTTCTAGATTTCATTCATATGTAGAGTCACCATTTACAGTCAGAAGTGATTATGTTCAATCAAGCTCGTGTAACCAACTCTCCCTTCCAGGTATTTAGTTTCATATTTCTCGTATGGTTTTTACCATTGATCTGGCTGGGTGCACTTTTAGAGCTGCTCACAATCCGTCTTTTCTGATGTTTTCATTTTCTCCCGAAGGGGATCAGAGTGCTTCGTCCCTGAATTATGCATCACTTTCCCAGTCTCACACGGATCGAGATTTAAGTGCCATCAGTTTTGTATCTGGGGGAAAATCGGCAGTTGACTTGGCATCTTGGCAGGAAGTGCTTGGAAACTCCACGTCTGGTAGCATACAAATATAGCATAAAATTGTTCATTTCCTTCATGAATGTTGAAACATTGTAGCACTCTTGGATGAGATCGTTATGCTGTTTCTGAACAGGTGACATTGCTTACCAACAGGAATCTGGCTCCTCCCTACCTGTCCATGTCAACTGGCAGGTACTTACGTGTTTTCTTTTCTT